ATTTTCACTAGCATATCAATAAAAACTAAAGACCTGCTAATGAGATTTACCATTAATATATAAACGGTTATTGTGAAATAGTCAAATAGAAGATGCTATTTAAATTTATAAACTATCCATGAATCTAGCGTTGTTTGGTAGGTTCCATTCTGAACTACAGCAAGATTCTATTCAACATTAAATGCATGAAATGAATAAAGAGGCGTCCTGACTGCCTAGACTTGCGTTGCCATGAACTCACTGGGAACTCTCACCCATTGTTTGCTATGAATACTACATCAATTGACAAACAGACAAAAATTTGTTGACTAATATTTACTAAAAACATTTTTTTCCTGCAACAATTGACAAACAGACAATATTTTGAATGAATGACTAATATTTACTAAAAAATTAAAATTACATTCGATGACAAAATTCTGATGAAAGAAGAAGAAAAGCGCACGAAAAACAAACCTGCGTCATTGTTAGAGAAATCTAAACGAACTGTACGTACTTAAAATAGATCAATTAGATGGACGCCACATTGTTTGCTGTATTGATTTACTTGAAATCTTAGTTTGATCAGCTCCTTTCTTTAATTAAGCCTTTGCAAGAAAAAAAACAGGGTTAACTAGGTTATATATTTTTTGTATTATTCTAATATTACAAACCGCGATGATGTAGCTTTCATGGTTCTCTCGTGACGCCGTTTTGAACTTTTATAAAATGAACATTTTATAACTATTATTTATAAAGATTTCTTTAATTAAATCCGTGTACACAGATCATTATTCGCGTCAATTGCAAAGTGTTTGCACTCGTTTGAAAGCTGCAAACGAGACGCATAAAATAAATAGTACTTTTTGCGTAAGGCCATTTTGATCTTTTATAAAATGACCATGTTAAACAATATTTACAAGTGTTTATTTTTTAAAATGGTATATTATAATAATTTTAACGTTAAGTGCAATGTGTTTGCACTCGTTTGAAAACTACAAACAAGACACGTTCAACAACGCTAATAGCATGGATGAACATGCAATACTTTTTGCTAAGGCCGTTTTGAATTTATATAAAACGATCATTTTATATAAATAGAACTATAAGAAAAATCACATTTATGGCTTATTATTCGCGTTAAACTGGGCAAGAATAAGTCTGAAGACGCGTGATGGTTTCCTCAAAACGAGTAATTGACAATGGGAAAGCATATATTAGCCAACAGTATCAACAATTTTTTAGCATATTCTTCTATTACCCGTAAACTTTACTAATTTGGCTCCCCTGAACAATAAAAGTTTCCAAAATACGCCTATGATTTTCAAACTACAGCATTGAGAGACGTATCATTCGATTTGTAGACAATATCGAGTGACTCGAGAAGCCTTTTTCTGATTTACTCATGGTTTGGATTATGTATTGAAAAAACTAAGGGAGAATGGAGAAAATGGGGGAAAATGTCTAAAAAACTATTTTTATAGCATGAGCAGGCGATTAAAAAATAATCGTATTTACACCGTCAGGTGGATCTTTTTAGCGCATTTTCTCATTTATAGAATAAAATGCAATATTGTGCTCGTCATGTCCGTTTGTCCGTCCGTGACTTCATGTTTTCGATGACGAGAAAATGTGCTCTCTGTCACTCAATGCAGTGAGAACTGAGTTTTATTTTATTTTTTATTAATTTTTCTACACGAACGGTGTTCATTTCTTGACTACATCTGAAGTAATTATTCCTTGTCTTCAAGTCGCATTTGGGCATCACGTAATGTAAATGTAATTATTCTTTGTGCACTGCGGAGCTATACAATAAAAAAAATTGGTTTCGGTAAAGGCGGTGCAACTTTTCACGCCTCACTTCACTGTGGCGTAACCTCCAATTAAAAGCAACTTTACGTAATATTACAGAATTTATCCCAATGAACTCGGTAATGTAGTTAATAATATTATTAAAAGAAACTTTTTTTAGTACAATATATTTGCTGTACCTAATAATTTTGTAAAGTAAGACGCATAGGTATATCAGGACTAGCCTCCTCAACATCAGAACTTTCTTGAAGCTTCCACATGCCGACCCTGTCTTCCGGAGCGAAACTTCGCGGCGACCGATTCTAGTCTTGCTTGGTAGAGCAACGCTAGATTAAAAATTTCGTGACTGTCACGCGTTGCTCACATTTTGATTCAAGTTGAATTTCATATATATTATTTTTTTCATTCGTATGATATGATATATGTTGGTTAATTTAAGTTTCAAATGGTACTTTGTTTGCGGTATTCATTGTTAAGCCATGAAACCATAGACTATGTACGTCACTGGTAGTTGGATCATGAGCCAATGTAAGTGACTAGATCCTCAAGTAAGACAGCATAAATCATGTCGTTACTGAGTCTCAACTACTGCGGAGAACATGAATTTTTTCGTCTAAAGCAGTTTACATTCGAAATAGTCTTGAGTTCTTTCACGCAATGCTTGGACAGAAAACGGCTCCCAAACGATAGTTTGGTAAAACGTTGCATCAATTCTATACTGTAAATTATGCCACTTAACTACAATAACATAACAAGTAACTATCACAAATATGTTGAAATATTATATTTCAATGTTACATTATCAGAATAAAAAAATGTCATCGATTCTTAGTCAAAACGTCCGATGAAAATTAGAATACGTTACCTCGGAGAAGCAGCCATGCTGCGGTGCGGCCAGCTACACCGTTCCCGAAATTTCTCGGTCGAGAAAATTCTTGTAACTTTATCGCTGAAGGCGTTGAGTCAAACTCATGTCTCATGTTTTTTAAAACCTGAAAAAATATTGTGATTTGCATTGCTGCACGTTTTTTAGCATCTTAGAAAATATTGGTTATTAGTGGTTCATTTATATAGGTGAACACAGCAGCGTTCCACACAAAACAGAAATTCGGTGTGTCATTCCATATGAAACAGAACTAATTTATAGAGGCGTTAGATTGTGCTTCCTTACATCCTCAAAAAGTGTGCAACTTGAAAGAATTTTTCTTAAAAATCGTCCTTATTTTCAATGTATAATTATTGTTCGGGAAGAAAATTGCTGCTCTTTTTACAACACTTCTCTTTAACTTCACTTCTTGTTGTTTGTCTACTAAATCTTATCATCGATATTTAAACACATTTTTATCTGTCCAATTGAACTGAAAATTTGCACACTTGAGCAAAGTCGTAGACAATGCTTGAATCAATTGGCAAAATGAACAATTTTATAAATTAAAAAAATTGTTCAATATTGAAATTTTTTGAAAAATAGTTTTTTTATATTTAAAAATAAAATAAGAAATTCATTGTACATGTCAATGTGCAACATCGGAGACACTGACCTCTTTAGAAATCTTATCTGTAAAAAGTAATTTTTAAACAAATATTATTTGTTCTAAATATGGAGAAAACGAAAACGAATTAGTATCAGTAGTGACAGAATTTAGGCTATGACTACTTTCTGACCAAAATCTACGGCAGCTCCGATGACTTTTGATATAACTGAACAGTGATTTATAACTACACTAAAGACTAGCGGGTTAGCTCGGTTTGGTAATACTTGCGCAATTTTTTAATCTCTTTATCCTGAATCTCATTAATCCGAATACCGCCATTCCGAATGTCGTTAACACAATTTTTTATAGAACACATAACTCCTAATATCATGATTGAATTAATACAATACAAAATTAAAAGTATATACATTCAATTTTAGAAAACAATTCCAATTTTTTGTCCTGCTACTCCCTCCTTCATTTTCAATGCCACAGCCAGGTTTCACACCAACCCACAATAACACAAGCTGTGAGAAATGTACACAAGAAGTTAGTTAGTTAGTTAGTTTAGTGGCCAAATGTTTACTTGCGCTTCAGCTATTTAGCTATCTCGCACCGAAGGTCAATATGAACATCACCATAGAGGTGGAAGGTCTCAATTATTCATCACCCACAAGGGGCGGAAGGTCTCAATTGTCCAGCCCGCTGAAGCTGGCTCGAAAGAAGCAGCTTTAGCATCTAAAAGAGACGAAGTGACAAAGAGGGACAGGTGAAAAGCAACAGAAACGAAGACACTCGAACAAGAGGTCGCTTACACGGGACGTCGGCCGCCCGCACGAGAGAGACAGGGAAGGGAAATTGTAAGGAATCCTACCTAAATAATAACTTAACCCCACAACTGAGACCTACAGTCAGACACCGCGAGCTCAACGGTGGGGAACAATCCCGCTCAGGAACAATCCCGCTAGGAACGCGAAATCCCATAGGACTTCTGCTGAAGAGCACAGACACCCGTCAGAAGTCCCCCCTGAGGGGGTACACAAGAAGATGTTTCCTCCACCGGTAATCGAACATTTTTTTCGTGATGTTATCTACAAGTGAAAAGTTTAAAAAATAAAGTACAACTATTCTCAATGCGGGGTAAATTATGCCTGGTGCAATAGATCAACTAGTTTAAATACTAAATTTTACGCAAAATAAATGAAATAAAATATCGTTTATGAAAGTTACTTGGCCGTCAAATTTGTTAACAAGGTTTATTTTCTGGCTGAAGTGTCGGAAAGGTAACAATTTGCATATTAAGTGTGCATAATATAATGCTTTTTAAAGCTACATATTCTTCAGTTTATCTTTTTAAAAATCTTGTAATTCTAAATTCGTATGTTGACAAAAAACTGAATGACACTATCTTTTTCAGTTCTAAAATTTGATTAACTTCGATAGGTAACAACAATTTCAAAATAGGATGAAAAAAAAAACAGAAACGAAGGATTTGATGTGAATAAGCACCTTAAGATCATTTTATCAAAAAGCCCTAAAATAAAAATTCAGTTACTGTGAAGCGACTAAGATTAATGTTTGTTTGTAATGAACCCCAGAATTATCCAAAATTCTAATGATAAAATCGTAAAAAGCATGTTTCTCGAACATTCGTAGATAATCGAATATCGTTTATACTGATGGAAGTTTCCAGACGCATCTCGAAGGTTTGTTCTCCAGTATATAAGGAGCGAGACCGCCCATTCCGGTCAGACTTGAGCTAGCAATAACAGTGAACAGTGCAGTCAGGCAAGACGCTGAATCCGCGATATCCAGGTTTGCTTCACAGCCACCAGCTTGCACCTTCTATAACACTGCCGCTATTTCAAGGTAAGTTTGCAATAGTTCTAAATGAGTAATCTTTTACTGATAACGTGGATAGAAGTAAAAGTCAAGTTGTAGCTTGGGTAAAGATTGTTTGATAGTTCATACTCGTAGACTGCAAACTTTGCGAACCGATTGCTTTTCGGTTTAATAACCGTTGAAATTATTTTCTTGGTAATTTCATATTGGTCTTTCACTCTTCAAGCTCAAGGAGACTCCTTCTCCGTGTCCGTGAGTCCTTGTATATTAGAGAAATTATCGTTGTGAAATTTTTAAATTACTAAGGAGTAGACGTTAAGTAAATAAAGTTACCATTCCCAACCTTGCAACCTATATTAGGTTGAGAATGCAGAACTCGACGGTGTGCCAACTTCTTGAAGTGGATTAAATAGTTTTTTATGAAGACTTAAGTTTATCAGTTTTTCTGCAATTTGCAAATATACCTGGTTTGTTGGTTAGTCCTACTCTGTCGCTAAGAGAATACGGACCGGTTTTTTAAATTCGAATGATGTGCCCTCAACAGTCACCACTGCTCACATCTCGTTTGCAAACTCCCATCTGCATAAGATTTCGGACGGAAAAGCTCCTGCATTAGTGTGCTATAACTGTGCAATTGAGAAGTTATTAGCATTTTGATTTTATTACATTTCACAAGCTTCTTTTTTTTTTAATTCGATGATACTCAGATCTAAAGTAAGAATTCACTTCCATAATACAAAAATATGGTCTAAACTACCAGGGCTAACATAGCTTTTCCTCGTCGTTCATTTCAGATGCCCGAAGAAACTGTAATGGAGACGGAGGGCGTCGAGACGTTCGCCTTCCAGGCTGAGATCGCCCAGCTGATGTCCCTCATCATCAACACATTCTACAGCAACAAGGAAATCTTCCTGCGTGAATTAATCTCAAACTCGTCTGATGCTCTGGACAAGATCAGATATGAATCCCTTACAGATCCTAGCAAGCTGGACTCTGGAAAAGATCTTTTCATCAAACTCGAGCCTAACAAGAACGACCGGACTTTAACTATTCGGGACAGGTTAGGTTCTAACATTTTCTCAATTCATTTGACTATCTATTACTGCGTATTATTCTTGGTAGTGGAGGAGTTTCAAATATGAATGGTCTGCTCTCGTCTATCAATTGCCAATTTCTATAGTGTTAAATATATATATATATAATTATATACTGACTTGAGTGCGCTAGAAATTAACTATAATCTTGCCCGTAGTTCGCTATAAATCCTTTTCTAATTCTTTTATTAGAAATGTATGCTTGAGATTGCCTCTTCCTGTGCAGCTCGTGAATTTTCCTGGTCTCAAAGTGTATTTTTTTTTACAGTGGCATTGGTATGACGAAGGCTGACCTCATCAACAACCTGGGCACCATTGCCAAGTCCGGCACCAAGGCCTTCATGGAGGCCCTCAACGCTGGCGCCGACATCTCTATGATCGGTCAGTTTGGTGTGGGCTTCTACTCCGCCTACCTCATCGCTGACAAGGTCACCGTCGTCTCTAAGCATAACGACGATGAGCAATACATCTGGGAGTCTTCTGCTGGAGGCTCGTTCACAGTGAAGGCAGACAGCGGCGAGCCTATTGGTCGCGGCACCAAGATTATCCTGCACCTTAAGGAGGATCAGACTGAATACCTCGAGGAGCGTCGTCTCAAGGAAATAGTCAAGAAGCACTCGCAGTTTATTGGTTATCCTATCCGACTGTTGGTCGAGAAGGAGCGCGACAAGGAAGTGTCTGATGATGAGGAGGAAGAAGAGAAGAAAACGGACGAAGATAAAGAGAAGGACGATGACGAGGAAAAGCCAGAAGTAGAAGATGTGGGCGAAGATGAAGACGCAGATAAGAAAGACAAGAAGAAAAAGAAGAAAATCAAGGAAAAATACACGGATGAGGAAGAACTCAACAAGACGAAGCCCCTGTGGACTCGCAATCCCGATGATATATCTAAGGAAGAATACGGAGAATTTTACAAGAGCCTCACCAATGACTGGGAAGATCATCTGGCCGTAAAGCACTTCAGTGTGGAGGGTCAGCTAGAGTTCCGTGCTCTGCTTTTCGTGCCCAAACGAGCTCCGTTTGATCTATTCGAAAACAAGAAGCAGAAGAACAAGATTAAGCTGTACGTGCGACGTGTCTTCATCATGGAGAACTGCGAAGATCTTATTCCCGAGTATCTGAACTTCATCAACGGTGTAGTTGACTCAGAAGACCTGCCTCTTAACATTTCTCGTGAGATGCTGCAACAGAACAAGATCTTGAAGGTAATTCGAAAGAATATTGTAAAGAAAGTTTTGGAACTTCTGGACGAGCTCACCGAAGATAAGGAAAGCTTCAAGACGTTCTACACGCACTTCTCGAAGAATCTGAAGCTTGGCATCCACGAGGACTCGACCAATCGCAAGAAATTGGCAGACTTCCTGCGCTATCATACGTCTGCCAGCGGTGATGACATGTGTAGCTTGAAGGACTACGTGTCCCGAATGCCTGAAAAACAGAAGCACATCTATTACATCACCGGCGAAAGCAAGGAGAGCGTTGCGAACTCAGCGTTCGTGGAGCGCGTGAAGAAGCGCGGTCTTGAGGTGATCTACATGGTGGATCCCATCGATGAGTACTGCGTGCAGCAGCTGAAAGAGTACGACGGCAAGCAGCTGGTGTCGGTGACCAAGGAGGGTCTTGAGCTTCCTGAAGATGAGGAAGAAAAGAAGGCATTCGAAGAAAAGAAGAGCAAGCTTGAGAACCTGTGCAAGGTAATGAAGGACGTACTGGACAAGAAAGTAGAGAAAGTGGTTGTGTCGAACCGTCTGGTGTCATCACCCTGTTGCATCGTTACTTCTCAGTACGGTTGGACGGCTAACATGGAGCGTATCATGAAGGCACAAGCCCTGCGAGACACGTCGACAATGGGCTACATGGCAGCTAAGAAGCACCTCGAAATTAATCCAGACCACAGCATCGTCGAAGCTCTGCGCGTCAAGGTAGACGCTGACAAAAATGACAAGTCTGTCAAGGATCTCGTAATGCTGCTGTTCGAGACCTCGCTTCTGTCCTCTGGCTTCTCACTTGAGGATCCCACCGTGCACGCTTCTCGCATATACAGGATGATAAAGCTCGGCTTGGGAGTCGAGGATGAAGAAGAATCAGGAGACGGCGAGGCCCCAATGAGCGAAGAGATGCCTCCCTTGGAGGGCGACGAGCCTGATGATTCTCGAATGGAGGAAGTAGATTAAACTTGGCGATTTTCGTTACAGTTGTTCAATTTTGGCATTGTTCATAGTTCATCGGCTCATTGTCATTTATTTTGGCAATTGTTAATTGTTCATTTCATTTAGTGTTAGTTGAGCATTGTCCTATTGCGCGAAGTAGGTTTAAGACTGAATCTAGTGACTTGGTTAAGGTTCGTCTTATCTAGTTATAGTTGATAGTTCTTCGTTTCGTGGCTGTTAATACAATAGCTCGATGATAGTCATGTATTCCATTCTTTTTTAGTTGGAAGAATCTTGTAGTGAAAGGAAAGTTATTTTATTTTTTCATAAATTGGAAAAACCTTGAATTTAGTATGATTTCCTTTCCATTTATCGAACTTCACTTTTTACCTACATATTTTCTGGAATAACTTGGAAAAACATATGGATGTTGACTGCTTATTGAGATTCAGAGGGCTGCTCAACTTCCCTCATGGAGACAGGCTATTGGAGTATATGGAAAAAGAGTATCTTTCATGATGCGAGACCCAAGTTTTTTCACTGCCAATAAGTTTATTAAGCAAGTGACAATGTGGCCTGGCATTAAATTGATTATAAGAAAGCTTGGAAACTGAAGACGCCTAACACTTTCAATAAACCTCCAAGAATGCCTACTAGTTAGAAATTTACATTTCCGAATAATTTGCATTTTGGAATAATTTGCACGTCCATATTCGCATGCAAAGGAAATGCCAGAGAGCTTTTTCCTTCGTTCAACCATTAAAACGAATTTTAGGGAAGGTGTCACATGCACTGGTCTCCAGCTCGTCAGGTTTAAATACAAATTCGTACAGGAATAGCTAATGAAATTTTTGCATACTCCCGGACTTGTTCAAGAAAAACGTCAATAAGCTTGAAAATGAAGGTGTGCATGAGCTAAGAGCTGCCATTACAGAAAGCTTACATGACAGGTATGTGACAAAGTAAATACGTAAGTTGACATTAGTAAAAACAAGAGCATGTGCGGGGTAGAGGAGTTAGCTGTTGAAGTTATCTTTACAGTAAAAAAACGTATTAAAAACTGAAATTAAGGAGAACCTATCTGATGCACATTGCGCAAGTCCCACAAGCGAACGAATCAAGCAATGAGAAATAGCTACGAAAATATTTGATCGAAACTCTAAATTTGCCCGCTAACCAAAGACCTAGAAGAAAGTGTATATATAATTTATTGCCAAAATACCATGGTATCCTGGCAGTTTATCAGGATCTTTGTAGACGAAGACTTTCAGCGCATTACCACTTAAAAGTGTTCTAGTTTCCGAAACTAGTTTTTAATCGTCAGCTGCTTGGCCAAAGTTTTATCCAGGCTTTTCACAAATAGGCATTCTCTGACGGAACGCAGGATTAGGCAAGATGGCGTTCAATTCGTTTACCATTGTAGACATGGACTTCGATATATCTCTTCGTCTCCAGTAGTCGGGCAATAGCTGCAAAGAACGAAACGATGCCAAGCCACACTGAGCCCGTCATTTAAGATTAGCTGAATTTACTTCATTTAATTTGCTCAAGAAACTTGATGGTTTACCTCCCCCAAAATCGTTCTGTTTTAAGAAGTAAAATTTAACAATTTTTTGCCTTTTATAATATTTATTTTGGTATCAATTTATTTATTATTTTTAGATATATTTAAAACTTATAAGAAAATTATGAGTTATGTGTACTATGACTTTAAAGTGAGAAAATATGAATGAAAATTTAGACGGGGAGAATATTGCTTACCACACAAGGCATGACGAGCCTGCTAGCATGACGCATGTTCCAGCATGACGAGCATGCTAGCATGACGCGAGTTCCAGCATGACGAGCCTGCTAGCATGACGCGAGTTCCAGCATGACGAGCCTGCTAGCATTAGCATGACAAGCCTGCTAGCATGACGCAAGTTCCAGCATGACGAGCCTGCTAGCATGACGCAAGTTCCAACATGACGAGCCTGCTAGCATGACGCGAGTTCCAGCATGACGAGCATTCATAAAGCTGTGCCTGGTAAGTCATTTTATTACAGCTACAAAGCTACATCATGGCGAAAACTCATATATATTCTCTTCGTGCAACAAACCATCAACTTTTCGACAATTTTTCAGTCGTCAGAGAGCAGGTGCATGTAGATGAGATGTTCTACATGCACCTGCTCTCTGACGACTGAAAAAATGTTTAAAAGTTTATGGTTTGTTTCAACTACAGTTCCTTTTTTTCAGCCGAACATATTCTGAGTATTCACTTCTTGATGAAATGTTGCTGCAGCACAAATGTGATCATTAAGCATAAAAAATCACGTATTTTTTCTCTTACTTTACCGTACAGTAAGGTTTCATTCTTTCAATCGACAGTGCATTGCAGAAATTTTTTCTCTGCAGGGCTTTGGGCTCTATATATATGTATATATACAGAGAGAGAAGAACTTGCTGGCAACATTCGTATCTCTACCGGATACTCACACGATCTGAATAGAGTAAGTGCAACGTTTACCCCGTTGCTTTAGTAGTGTCGCTGTTTGCGGAGAGAGCGGCAATATACCGTGTAATGATTGTTTCTTAAATTTTACAATCTACTTCACCTCGGATGCGATTCAATAATAAAAAAACTAGTTTTCCTGTTCTTGTAGAAATTTGCAGCTGCGGTGGAAAAGGTACGATGTGGGATCAGCCTCTGAAGATTTGCTAACGCCTACCGCCTGATAAACTCACGGACGAAATACACTAAGTTGTGATTTTGAATCAAACCTTTAAGATTATTTTACACCCACCGGTTATTCCAGTCACTTGCAAAACTTGCACATGCTGCACCGCGTTATGATTTTGAATCAACCCCTAGAGATTCGTTAAATCCTGCCGTTTCTACAATCACTAGCGACAGCAATATTTGCAAATTCTACACCCAGTCATGAATTTGACCCAGATGGTGGCACAAGCATCAATATATCTATAACATGGTATATGTGATGCATGTGTAGCAACCGAACGAAGTCGACGCACTAAATCCGTAAACAATAATCTCTTCTGTTGGGTACAACAGTGCTATAGAATAAGAATATACGTAGTTAAGAATCGGCACCGCATCAGGCCTATTCTTCAGCACCGACATCACTATTGAGATGATATAAAGTAGTTGAGAAAAGGTTTGTGATTGATTCTGCATGTTTTAATAGAGCGCCATTTATAATTGTGAATGTTTGCTAATTGAATCTTTTGATTTCTTTCATATGGTGCGTTCCTGGACGAAATCATAATGATCATCAGTTATTACATGCCTTTACAAAGAAATTCTACAAACTTATTTGGGATAACTTTCAAGTGATTTATTAACCTTGTAGAAATCATGCAAGAGTTAAGTTTAACTACTCCCATCAAATTTAAATTTAACTTCTTTACTGCAAATTATTTAAATAATATGTATTAAGGTTCCTAACTTCACCATGATTTTGGATAAATAAAATGAAAAATACCTGGATCCAAGGTTACTTTCTGTTAGTAAATTCAGCAAGACAAACGTCCATGCATGTTGTGAACAGCTGTTGAGAGCATCACAAGTGTGAGCTGTTCTCATAACACCTGCGTTTCATATGATGCGACCTTTGCTACCACAAAACACCAGTTGCTCTTGTTCGGTGTTGCAGGGCGCACCGTTTTTCACTCGTGGGTAAATGTCTGAAACGAGAACAACGTGTCTTCATGCTAGAAATAAGAAGGAATAATGGATGTAACGATTCCTGGAATATTAATGCCAAGCGTAATGTAGGTACTAAATTTATAAAACAGATTATCTAATTTGCTTTTTCAATTTCACGACAAATAAAATTTCGGTACTATGCTGGTCTGAGCTGACGTGTGCTAGATACTTCTGAATGATTGTTGTCTGTATAATCTCAGCACATTAAATGTTAAACCAATCTAATTATTTCCCAATTATCTTATATTTTTCGGCCAAATTTTTTTTATTATTAATGCGCGTGTATGACTCAAATTCCACTCGAAAATTGAAGATAGAATTCTCATTTGCGTTTTGAGAGCAGGATTTGAGGATCGGATTTGAAAGACTTTAAAAACCTAACTGAAAGTAAAATTTCGAAAACTTTCAAACCTAAGTATCATTTTGATGAGCAAAACTTTCCTCATCGATCGCGCTCTTTAACCGACAGACACGCCATTTGAAAGTACAAACATTTATTTAAACAGCCGATGATTTTCAAGGTGGAAATGAATGCATTAGCGTTATTTTAAAAAATGTTCTAGTAAATAGAGAAAAACTACGAAAATTCCTGAATAATTCATACGATGAAGGGAATCACGTGCGTGACGCTCTGCGTGTACACCGCATGTCTGATGCTGGCGACGTCTCGGGCGCTGGATGGTGAGCATGATATTCCTTATTAAAAATATTCGTTATGAATACGCTAGTATTTCATAATATGTAATGAAATACGCTAGTATTTCATAATATGTAATATAGTATATATATAATAATATAATATAATATATTCGCAACCTACTATTTAAATCATTCAATGCATAAATATTTTTTAATATGACTTGGTTTGTTATCAAGTTTCTGGTGCATTAAATGGCTATTCTACTAATTAGACTTCAAATAATTTCTACATTGATTTGTTTGTGCTCGCCTATTTTAATTATCCAGGTATTTACAACTTATGATGATAACTGGCACATAAAAATGAACAACGAGGCTAGTTTGTACCTACTACTGGTCATTACTATTTACATCTTGCATTCATATGTGTATAATGTAAAAGTACATATGGTGAAGTTCGAATTAGTATACATTTGACGGTCGCATTCTGTCGATAAAGGTCCACCCATAAAGCAACACAAACTTCTTTAATTTACCTGAGTTTATACTTCCAACATTTATGTATAGTCTGCGTAAGTAATTTTCCCCAAACAAAATTTTCCTGGCTTATTTCCTGTTATAGTTTCCGTGCTAATAAAATTTAGCAACTAAATCGGTAAAAAAATTCTGCATCAGCCCCGTCACGTTAGGGTGCTTCAGTAAATTTTTTTGAATGGTCTTAATAATTGAAAGAGTTATTATAGTTCTTAAAAATTTCATATATTAATAATGATTATCATTTATAATGATAATTTTACATTTGTGGTCTTAATTTGCGTGCAGGCTCAGGACTAGACGCCTCTGCCGAGCAATACTTGAGCAGACGTAACGCGGAGGTCGCCCGTGACGCCAACAAGATGTCGCTCGCGTCCTGGGCGTACGACTGCAACCTAACCGAGACCAACAAACAAACCATGGTACAGTCAACTCTGTCTGGATTCAGGATTGTCTTTTGAAATGAATACATTTATACCAATGAAATATAGTTATCTTTCTTACATTTCGTATTAATGTTCATTATATTCACTTTGATATGTAACTTGAAACCTGCTGAGAGTAGTTTAATGTTGATACCTATAGTTATAAGCATTGAAAAAACAGGTACGGTAAATCTTTCTTATTTTCTTGTTCAATTTATAAGGTGCAATAGATATTATCATATGTAATAATGGTTTAGGCGCGTTACTTTTATCTAGGATGAGGGAGGAGAGGCAACATAACATATAATTATATTCTTCAGATGGCACTGCAAAACGAAAATGCAGCTAAAAGCAAATCTGAGTGGGAGCAATGGAAGCTGCTAAAGTGGGACGAGAAATGGAATCAAACAACCGATCCCAACTTGCGACGTCAACTAAAACAGTTCTCAGTACAGGGAATGTCTGCGCTGCCATCAGATAAATTCAGTAATGTAAGTAACTCTCGGCGTAAATAGATGAGTGTATCGGTACAATCTAATTTAGAATATATATAATAAATAATTCTGCAATTGGCCAAAACGCATCTACTTAGCTGGATCGTGTTCCTTGCCGGAATGTCTCAGCTCGGGTATTTTTCTGAACATAAAGCGATATTTTTCAGTAGTTTCTTGTACATGAGACGGTAAGACGCCAATGGCAATCCCACTTAAACGATAGGCATCTCGATAGGCTGGAAACTTCCGTATAGTAGTATCAAAAATTAAACATCGTAGTCTCTTTTTTTGCATGGGATCAAAACCCAATCGAGTGAAGCCGGGGATAGTCATAATGGACGAGGTGATAAGTTGTTAAAAGCTGTTGCATTATTATTCTGCTGGTTGCTAATATTATTGCATTATTTATATTAAAGTATCATTGATACATGTATTATATTATTATATATTTGTGTATTGTAACACGGTTACAGTTAAGCGAGATCACCGCTGACATGGTAGCCACGTACAGTACAGCCCACGTTGACATGTGCGTCGAGCTCCAAAACGAGAGTGTGTGCGACCTCAACCTCGAACCTGGTGGGCCTGAGCTTCCAAGTCTTTTGACAAAATTGTGAAGGCTGAAAGTTTCCCTTCCCTTGTGGCATTTAATTTTTTAAGTGCCATTGTGTTGTACATTTTGTGTAGTGAGCTAACCGTCTGTTTTCGGCAAAGTTATCCTCTCATTTTTGAAGCATTTTATTATGCGGGTTGGTCACCACGGTTGGTGACCACGAATTAAGTGGTCAATTGTTCATAACTGTATTCTTATTTTAACTCTATTTGCCAGCCCTTTCGAAAAGAAAATTTGGTATCAATAAAATTCGATGCATTCGTAGACACGGGGATGCAAATGATAGAAGCATGTCGTCCCCTGCCTAACCAAGATTTACCCTAAAAGTACCGGACAAGCACTTAAGTCCACCACCATGTATGATCTATCATAAACGTAGACTATTTTGGGCGGCACATTTATGAGTAAACACTGGAAGCCATTACTCTGATGTAGAATATATAGAATTAACATTAAAGTAGGTACGCTTATTTCCTCATACTGTCCGAGTCTCCGCTGAAACATTGTCATGTTTGAGCAGAACTGACGCAGCTGCTGGACCAGGTGCGCGACTACAACGTTCTGACGGAGGCGTGGGTGAGGTGGAGGGACGCGTCGGGTAAGCGTGTGAGGAACAACTTCCTCGAGTACGTCCAGCTCTCCAATGAAGCCGCCAGACTCAACGGTAAACTCATGAATTTAGTTCAAATGATTCATTGCATAAATCTTCGACTGTAGAAGAGAATAATTATATAGGTAATGTTTCGCATAAACTTCTATTGTTTCTTACAGTGATTATTTGATCGTTGGAAATAATTTCGTAAAGGCTATTTGGCTGTTGTAAATAAAATTGAATTTCATTAAAAGTTCCCCGTAACATACTTTTAGAGAGAAAGTCCAAGATAACGATTCAGTCCATTTCCGCACTTTTAGAAAGTCTAGTCCTTCTTTTCTCCAGGTTTCAGCGACATGAGTGAGATGTGGCTTGATCCATACGAGTCTCCGAGCTTCCAGTCCGACATCGAAAAAATTTGGCAGGAAGTCAAGCCTCTTTATGAGCAGCTACATGCTTATGTCAGGAGGAAGCTGAGAGAGGTAACTATATAAATTTCTATTTTATCTAAAACTTCACATTTTTATAACTTATAGTTGTTGTAGTTTAACTTAGTCCAACTGTTATTATTGAAACCGTCCTTGTAATTGTTGTTGAAGACCAGGTTTTGGTTGAGACGTTAAAGTCGAAATCTGTATGAATTTCGAGTAATTTCACTGTACTCTAACACATATATACATTCTCTGCTAATAAAGGAATATGGAGCGAATCACGTGAACCTCACCGGCCCCATCCCGGCCTCCATCTTGGGGAACATGTGGGCTCAGTCCTGGGGAGGAATCTACGACTTGGTCCAACCTTTCCCTAATAAACCAACTCTTGACGTCACGGCAGCCATGAAAAGCCAGGTAGCTTAAAATTATTATTTATATCGTCGGCGTTGTTATTTGTGATGTTGATTGTATTTGTAATTTTTCTGGCCTAAAAGCATGTAAGCAACCTATTCCATAAACTGCTCAAATTATTCCTCAAAGGTCATCAGTGTGCTTATTACAAATTAATATAAGCATATTTATGAGGCCAGGTCGATTATATATTTACATCAACCATCTAAATTTGAGATCGTTTATTTGCATGACGAACAAACTCCTTCACAATCCAACGAAATCTGTAGTTCGTTAATAACGGTTTCAGAAAATTTTTGTATACAACTAAACATATAAAACTATCTCCAAATTTCATATTGCTTTCACAGGGCTACACGGCAAAGAAGATGTTCGAACTCGCCGACAAGTTCTACACAGAACTGAATCTCATCGCAATGCCCGCCAGCTTCTGGGAGAAGTCGGTTCTGACGAAGCCTCCTAGCGTGGATATGGTGTGTCACGCGTCTGCCTGGGACTTCTACGACGGACAAGACTTCAGGTGATGAGTTTTGCTGAAAAATGTTCGCTAGTGAAAATTTTGGAGATCGTTTATCATTTAATAATATTAAATCTATTGGAACCATGCCAGTTTTACAATTTTACCACAGTTGCATTGTTTAAAAATATGCCACAGCGATCGATTGCACGGAGAGGAATATTTGACCATCAAAATATAAACATTTCGATTTTCGAGTCTTACCTAACATGTACCTCACATATAACCTAGCATGTATGTAACTCAACGTGCATTTATCTGCAAAGAACTCGTTGCAATTCTAAGTTCGAATTTTATCTCAGGATAAAAATGTGTACGGACATCACGATGGACGACTTGTTCACAATACATCACGAAATGGGGCACATTGAGTACTACTTGCACTATAAAGACCAGCCTTACGTCTTCCGCTCCGGGGCTAATCCAGGTAGAAAAATTAGTCAACGATTACCGTTTTGCGTAACCGAATAAATAAATAAATAAAACGCGAATTAAACCAGAATAAATTCAATACATCTTCCAATATATTCCTTGAAATAATGTCTTTGATCTAAAATATTCTTAATATTTTATTTTTATTGTAAGCGTTAAATTGTTTGGGATGTATTTCTCACATTAATTTTATTTTTTACTGTTATTTTAGGTTTTCATGACTTCTTTATAAATGTAGTCGTACGAATTGCTTTTACTTGTATTTTTCATTTTTCAATTTTTACCTGCTGATGGAGCTGGTCATTAAAATGGTTCCAATGAGAGTACAATTAATTATTATTTTATACTTCCTTGCTTTTAAATTTAGTGTGCGATTAAAGTAATCAAAATATTTAAAATTCGCGTCAATAAGGGCTGCAGCAATGAACAAACTAATACATTATGTTGATCTATATTTCGCAGCGTAGCTATTTCGGTGAAATTTACTTCTATGTCTTTAATATAAATAGAATTTCTACTAATTTGAAGCATAGTTTTCTTTCATTACTTTATGACCGACTTAACACATGAATGAATGTGAAAATCCGGAAAAAAATTCTTATGTGACCAATTAATTATAGGTTTCCATGAGGCGGTTGGGGACAGTCTTGCTCTCAGTGTGCGCACTCCCAAGCACCTGCACAAGATTGGTCTGCTCGAACAAATTGTCGACGATGAAGAATCAGACATAAACTTCCTCATGAAAGTCGCCCTGGACAAAGTCACCTTCCTCCCATTTGGTTACCTGATCGATAAATATCGCTGGCGGGTCTTCAGCGGCAACATTACTGCTCAAGATTTGAACTGTGAATGGTGGAACATGAGGTGCGACGAAGTAGAGTTCGCTAACTCGAGAATTCTTCTAGGTCGAAGAAATCGAATTTATTATGTAATACATTTTGCTTATGAAAATTTAATTTTTGAAAGTGACATTTCGTCGTATGGCGTGAATTGAATTGATAAATGGATGAGTTTGAAAAAGGATATTTTATTCATTGCTTGGATAAACGATATTCGAACAAGCATGATTGCTCTGAAATTCTACGTGAACACTTTTATGGAAAATCTGAAATTCACTAATTTAAATGCGATTTGAATGTATCATAAAAAACTACTACCACTATAATGATGATGGCAAATCCTTTTCTGTCTTATTTCGAAAAGATTTTAGTGATAATTATTAATAAATACAGATATGATCACAAATGTTTTTTATCCGCAGATATGAGCTGCAAGGGCTCAAGCCGCCGGTTCAGAGGAGCGAGGAGGATTTCGATCCCGGCGCCAAGTACCATGTGGTTGCCGACGTACCGTACATCAGGTGATGTTACATCAGGAATTTGAGTGGGAAACTTACAAAATTTTGCCTTATGGCCAATTAGAATATTCAAGGTTTGCAGCTACCGTCGCCCGATATAGGTTAAAAATATTTTACATTTTAGGTGACCGTTGTACCTTCAATACTGCGGCAGAAGAGCCATAGTTGAAATGGAACCTTAATATGGATAATTTTTTATTTCATTCGGAAAAAAATAGCTTTTTTGTGTAATAAAATGGTTATTACATTAGAAATTAGCTAAATATATTGTTATTAATCAAGGAATTACCTATGATTTTTCAAACGTACGTGATGCTCGAACTTCATGGCGATGAGATTTTTACTTCGGTTGCTCCGCTGTAGTTCTTGTGACGAGTTCTTATATAAGATTTACATTATAATGATGTTTGGAAAACAATTTATTTCGATTAGTGGAATTAATTAAAAAATTTCGCTCAGTTTTAAAAGGAGGTGCATGAGAGCAAGAAACCCCTGTTATTCATAAATGGTTCAATTCACCTACGCTCGTTATTTGGCTTTCGTTGTGATAGCACTTGATGATAACGATTTTGAATTTTTTACATGGAAAGAAGACTTTATGATTCATGTGATACGAATTCTCTATTTTGTTCACTTGCTGAAGAAGCTCTAAATTCTTCAAGTGACATAAAGACTGCATAATATTCACGTGGTGAGAAGGTTCTATATTTTTCATTTGATCACAATACTGAATATTGTTCACGTGATAACAAGTCTGCATTATGTTTACGTGGTAAGAAGGTTCTATATTGTTCATTTGATGACTACACTGAATATTGTTCACGTGACAATACTGTTCTATATTGTAGACGAGATAATACTTCACACCAGATTTTGCTGACCTGACAAGTCCTGATCACAGATATTTCGTGAGCTTCATCGTGCAGTTCCAGTTCCACAAGGCGATGTGTCTGAAGGCCGGCCAGTACGACCCCAATGACCCCAACCTGCCGCTACACAAATGCGACATCGACAAGTCTACCGCAGCGGGTGAAGCACTTGGGTGAGTCCTGCGACGCAGTGTAAGATCATTTATACGATACTTTTTTTATCTTCTGCGTCGCAATACAATTCGGCTTTTCCACGATATATTATATTTTAAGTAGTTTTTCGTAGGTTATATTGACGCTTTTTGTTTATCCACATGATGAATGTTCAATCACACTCATAAGGTGGTATTGTCATCAATGAAAGTTGAAAATAAGTATAAAATCTTCTATCATTTAAAGTTGAGTATTTTCGTTTGTGGTTAAAAAATCTTTAATGATTCTAGAGGCGAATGTTAGAACATTCAACAATTGAAAAGTGCTGACTTTAGATGCTTGAAAGTTAAATTTATAAGCACGCGGTTAACGATAATCTTTAATAGAAATTATATTTATTTTGTGGAATACAAGTCGAATTTTAAAATGTTTTGAGGGAATAAGAACTGCAACATGACCTCTTCTCTTAGGAACGAACTATAATGAAAGTGTTGAAATATCTACATAATTGGAATTAAATACAGATATTTAGAGTTACGTACAAATTGTTAAACTCTCTACCATATCGGTGAAATGCCTTTCAATTCTATTTCTTGCCCCGATAATTTTTATCAATGAAAGGAGTTTGTGAAGAACAATAGTGTTGACTAACGTTGTGTCTCTCTCGTGGCACACGAGCATATCCACAACACCGACTATACTATGTTACTATATTATTACATTGTACGTTGGAAGGGCGATGTTACGCCTGGGTTCTTCGAAGCCGTGGCCAGACGCCCTGGAGTCACTCACAGGGTCGCGGACGTTGGACGCATCCGTGCTGCGGGAATATTTTGCGCCGCTAGAACGGTGGCTCAAATCGGACAACGAGCGGCACGGCGAATACGTAGGCTGGATACGAGGTGATATTTTTTTGCCTATGCCACTGCCTTAGATGCACTCAAATAAATTAACGAGATTTTTTTCCAAACATCGAAGCACTTTTTACCCTTAGGTAGGTCATTTTGTTCCAATTTCGGCCCCGAAAAGAACTTATCAGTGCTACGCGCAGCATGTGTTTCTCTATTTCAGCAATATCCTATTGACCCGTCCTTTTTTAGTGTGGCTAAGTCGTCCATAGTCGAACATGAAATTCAGAGTCAATGTATTCTATTTACTCTTCGTAAAGTAAACCTTAATTTATCTGGGTAATTTAATCTATACACGCTCTATTTGCATTATGTTATCCTTGTTCATTGTTCATATTTTGAGAGTAACCCAGTGCAAGGTTCCAGAATAACCCGATCGCATTGATAACCGGAAAAAACTGAACCTTGTCTATTTGCTTATATATCAATTTCATTTCGGGAAAAAACTGAACCTTGTCTATTTGCATATATATCAATTTCATTTCGGGAATCATAGGCGGTACCGACGAGCGCCACGTATTATATCAAAATATATTTAAATTACCTAAATTTTTGCTCGACAGACTCTCCCAGTACGTAAAAAGTGACGATAAAAGTACGTGAAAAGTGAGGTAAAGGTCTCACACGTAAAACGTGCTGGTGCGTACAAAGTGAAACCATTACGGTTTATTTTTCGTGTGCAGATGGGGAATACTGCCAGGGTCCGCCGCAACTCCGTCAAAATTACAACAAAGTATTGCATGAATCTAGAAATAACCAGATTACAATCACAGTGAACGAGATCGAATAACCATTTTTACAAAGACACAAGTTGTTACTATTTTTGCTCACTCAATAATTCAAAATTGATTGTAGTTTTTAACGAAGCTTCATTACCGTTTTATGTTATGAAATAACTCTAATACTCGAATTATCGCATGCGCATTATAGTCATCATTTCAACGTGGGGCAGCGTAACCTCAAACAGTAACTGCATTTTTGCCTTTTAAATGGTATAAAAATATATTTCTTTCTAGTCTGCTGTGCCTGTTGACGAAAATAAACGATTTATGTTTATTCCTGAATCTAATTGTTATCAATTTCCTTACGCACGTACGTCTGTCGTTAAAACGCTAGCAAACTCATGTCAATTGGAACCAAACGCTGGCAAACTCATGTCAATTGAAACCAAACGCTGGCAAACTCATGTTAATTGAAACCAAACGCTGGCAAACTCATGTCAATTGNAGATGTGTATAAGAGACAGACTCATGTCAATTGGAACCAAACGCTGGCAAACTCACGTCAATTGGAACCAAACGCTGGCAAACTCGTGTCAACAGGAACCAAACGCTGGCAAACTCACGTCAATTGGAGACAAACGCTGGCAAACTCATGTCAACTGGAACCAAATGCTGGCAAACTCATGTCAATTGGAACCAAACGCTGGCAAACTCACGTCAACAGGAACCAAACGCTGGCAAACTCGTGTCAATTGGAACCAAAAGCTAATTAAACGCCAAACGCACCGGTCTACAGGGCCAATAGTCCACCAGCAGCCAGGCATACAAACTGCAAGAGAGCCCAAGCTTACTTACGTTTGTGACTTGAATAACATCATGACTTGAAGTGTACATTAATCTAGTTATTTCTATTTAGTTCGTTTTATTCAGAAAGTGACGCCATATTACATTAACAGGGTTTTTAGTTTCTTTCACTCCACCATCACGCATAACATCCACATTGTAAGAGCATCTAAAGTAGTGTTACTATACCATTCTAAGACCAAGGCCACACTCCACACGATTTAGTGCACCGCTTGCCGTGTCTCAGTTTGCAGGTTAAGACATGCATTACCATCCGCATGCCCTTTACCATTGTTAAATGGGACGCTTTGCATGGTTTTCATTAGGAATATTCATAGTAAAATTGCTTCTCCTCTCCTGCTTTTCTCGTAAAATACACTGCACAACCTCCGCTATTAGTCTTTCTTAAATCCCTGGAACTTCTGAAAATATTCATGACACCTAACGCCACTAGTGGCAGATTTGTGCATGGTCTCTCAAAAAGTTTGGCTGTTGACAAATTACGTGTTCGGCAAGGAGAAGCCAGGACCGTTATGTTGACGTTAGCCAAAAATTTCAAATAATTATGGCAACAGTGCGGGAGACCTGATGATTGATTCAGTGGAGTGTGGAGTAATACTGTTGATTTGAGTGCAAAAATAAATGATAGGAACACTAAGAATAATAACATCAATAATGATATTAGAATAACCAAACCAATTACAGCTTAATAAATTAAATATCAATACTTGGATCACTAATAATAGAAAGAAAATATGAAATAAAAAAGATAACACATATAACAGTAAAAGATAAAATAACTTAACAAATATTTTACCCAAAAGTCTAAACCTCCTTTCTACACCAGCACTTACCTTAAACTTCCAAAAAACTATCCCTGCTCCCTAAAGGAGCTTGTACACGGGGATAGTGCAGACCATGGTTGAATTATTAATTCAAACATGGTGCAGACGGCTAGTAAATCTGTAAATCGCTTGGTGAAATCTGTAAATCTGTCGGTCGCTTGGTGACAATCCGGCAAGTAACATGACCTCTGCTATATTATTCTTCAATCCTCATGACTTTCTGCGTCGGGGATTTGAAGCGCGTGACAAACGTAAAAATAAACAAAATACGGTAGTTCTTCTCCACAGCCAAAATATCAAATTATCTCCATCAAATAAAAAAAATATCAATATATCTCCATCAAAATATCAAAATATCTCCATCAAATAAATATGTGTCGGGTTGCAGCTTGCCCATACAAAGACCTATACGCAAACTGTAGTAATAAATGTACAGTAACGATTTCGAACCGTCAGTTGAAAAGATTGGTTAAAAACAGCTTTTAGATCTATTAACAAGTCACAAAAAGTACAGGAATCGGCGATGGGCCCAACCAGGCATATTCTTCTACCGCCGAACGTTAATAAAGTATGCAATCCTTTTTTTCGTTCACGATCACCACGCCTAAGTCCAACTGCTACCGTAGCGCTATCTTTCTGGAGATGTGAAGCGCGTGACAAACAGCCAAGTTCTCATAAACTATAAAGCGCACGAAAGTCACAGGCCTGCCGGAGTTGGCTATGAAGGCGATGAGTATGAGGTCTAGTGCTAGTCAGTCGTCAGTCTAATAAAGGCCGGTCCACACGCTCAGTTTTCACAACGATTTGTCTGCGCAGTTTTAAGTCGGAATGAAATCGTTGCAATTTTTAGAGCGTCCACACGGTGCCGACTTATCTGAGTAGTTTGCTCAGTTTTGCGCGATCTCGCCATGGAGACGTCTCGGACAAATCTATGGCCGGACTTGCAGCAGGTCTCCCCAAATTCGGTGAGCATGGAATATCTCCTAAAGTAATGAAGGGAGCTCGATAAAACTTTGTACACGTATTCATTAGGATTTAGCGGTGTTGTTTAGCTCGTGAACATTTTAGAATTTCACATTCATTCGTGAGTTATATGACGATACGTGCCGAAATTTGCAGTGAGCATGACATTTCTTCTAAACTACTAGCTGTACAGATTTGAACGAAACTTTGAATATAGAAACCTAACCTCCCAACGGCGATGTTTAGCTCGTGACAATTTTTTAGATTAGATAAAGCCGTATAACTTGCAAACGAAGGCAAAATCGAAAAACATTGTCACGTGCTAAACATCACCGTTAGGTCCTAATGAATACGTGTGCCAAATTTTTATCGAGCTACGCATTACTTTGGGAGATATTCCATGCTCACCGAATTTGGGGAGACCGGCCGCGAGTCCGGCCGTAAATTTGTCCGAGACGTGTCATGGCGAAGGCAGCATTTGGGTCAATTTTGGCATTGTGCCTTTGTTAAAAAAGAGATTGGTTCATTTAGGGAATGCGATGAATCAAAATACAAGAGAGGTTGCTTGTAGATGTCTTCTTCTCCAGGTTCAGATGGAATTGATTTTTTATTTATTCCCAATTATTTACGGTATAAATGCTCCTTCAATTATTTTACGGCTGCTTCTCTGTTTGCGCTTTCATCGATTTCTTTGAATTTTTCTACTAAGCCCTCGAATGTCTCCACTTTTTTGTCCCTGTTATTGTAGTCCAGGAATTTTACTCGACAAATGCAAGAAAAACTTTCGTATAGAGCAATAAATTCCCGAGAACATTACCGAAGGTACGCGTCGCCATAATCATTGAAACTGAGGGGTGCGCATCCGTAGATCAGCAAATTAACGCTCAAAGCAGCTCTGGAGCCAACATCAACCATCTAAAAGCTATAGACATTGTCCTCCTGGCACCTAAGCACCTGTAGTCCGGCAGACTCTAGAGCAGTGGTTCCCAAACTTTTTCAGGCTGGCGCCCCCTTTGGCTCCCTAGTGAACTTCTAGCGCCCCCCACAGACTGACAGACACATATAAAAACATACGCCTCTTTCTTGAAATTTAGTACGCTGCAATTTTAATAGATAAATGTTGAACACAAATGTATATTTCACAAATAGAACCCCATTTAGTGAACTAATATGTTTTTAAGCTGTTTTAACTGTTTCAGCCCTAAAAACCTAGGACGTCTCGGGCGAATTTTCGGCCGGACTCGTAGCCGGTCTCACGACCAATCTCTAAATTCAATTATCAAGTAATATCTCCCAAACTAATGAACGCAGCTCAAGGAAACTTGGAACCTATATTCATCAGAACCTAACGTTGATTTTTAGCTTGTAAAAATGTTAAATTTCACCTTCATTCGTGAGTTATATTGCGATAAAGGCCGAAATTCGCAGTGATCAAAGAATTTCTTTCAAAGTACTGAACAGATTTAAACGAAATGTTGAATATACATTCCTAACTACCAAGCGTTGATTTTTTGGCTTTTAAAATTTTTCAATTTTACCTTCGTTTGTGAGATTTTTTTTTCATTTCACAGTCATTCTTGATTTCGCACTTCCTTATATTCGGCCCTTATCGCCGGATAATTTGTCTCTTAAATTCGCGGCGATCGAGGAATTTCTTCTAAAGTATTGAACAGATTTCAACGAAACTTTTTACATAAATACCTAACCTCTCAACGGTGATGTTTAGCACGCGACAATTTTTATATTTTGCTTTAGTTCCCGAGTTATACAGATATAGGAGGAACGACCGGCTTTTCTACCGGCCGGTTTAACCAAGAGCCGTTTACGTATATCCGTATCCGTATAGCCGTATAACTCGCAAACGAAGGCAAAACGAAAAATTGTAGCGAGCTAAACATCACCGTTGCTAAGGTTAAGTATTTAAATACTAAGTTTCGTTCAAATCCATTCAGTAGTTTTGAAAGGATTCTCTTGATTACTGCGAATTTAAGCACGTATTGCTGTTTAAATCACAAATGAAGTTGAAATGAAAAAAAAAAAGCTCGCGAGCAAAGGCAAAATCGAATAAATTTTCATGAGCTAAACATTAACGTTCAGTAGTTAGGACTGTAAATTCAAAAATTTCGTTCGAATCTGTCAATAGTTTGGAAAAATTTCTTGATTACCCGGTACTGTGAATTTCGGCCCGTATTGCCATATAACTATGGCAAAAACAAATGAAGGCAAAATAAAAAAAAAATCACAGGCTTAACATTACCGTTAGGTTTAAATGAATACGTGTACCAAGTTTCATCGTGTTAAGTTCATTAGTTTTAGAGATATTCCTTGATCATTGAATTTGGAAATTGGCCGTGAGATCGGCCGCGAGTCTGGCCGTTAATTTGTCCGATACGTAAAACCAGGAGAGGTTAAAAAACAGATCTGGGGGTGACAAAACCATCGCTGTGAGTGATGTGCTGCACGTGTTGGGTACAAATCGTCAAACACACGTTCGAACTTCGGACTACCGCCCGCCGAACGCCCTCTTCTTTCTTACCGCCCATCAAAATCTTTCCACCGTCCCTAGGGGGGCGATATCGCCCACTTCGGGAACCACTGCTCTAGACTCTAGAGACTCAGAACGTCTAGAGAACGACAGGTCGTCGCCTGACAGCCGTGAGCCTGACTCGCCTCAGTAGTCAGTACTCAGTA